CGGCCCCGAATTAGCCTCCTGGCTGTGAAACTGGTAACTGCCTATTCGCATCTGGTTTTATTACATTGTAAAATCAGATCATCAGGTGATATACAGAATATCCTTTGTATCAAGATCATTTTCAAGAAAGAAGCCATATTCCAATGGGTCAAGCTGAGTATTTGATAAAGTCAGATACCGTTGTCACAAATGGCGGACATAACTGTCGCTTCAACTCTTTAATCACTTGGTCCTCGTTTCTCATGGGATTTTATCATCACTAATTCTGTGCATGTATTAAGCTCATGTGATGATGTATTATATGAAATCCAAATTTCTATCAAATGGGGTCGTGAATCGCCACAATATATCGTCTTCGATATCGTCAATGACAACAGAATCTGAATTTGAGATAATTTGCAAAGACAACAGCATATGGTAAATTATTTATTTATTTAGGAGCAAAGGTTAACTATTAAGTCTCCCACACACACAAGTCTTCAAATTCAAGGATATTTTCAAGCCTAAATCTTGAACGAAACATAAGTTACAGTGAGTTATAGAAGCTATAGTAGTATAGTATATGTATCCCTATATAAGGGGTGTTTTAAGAGGTAAATCAATAATTTCTGCTTAAATTTTTTATTATTATTTATTTTTTTAAGTGAACTACAGTCATCTTTATTGGTCTAAAATGAAAGAAAAGTATTAATACTATGCATGGGTATAAGGTGTGGAAAGTAAATTAAAAAGTATAGATGATGGTTTATCTGAAAATAATACAAATCCAAATTATATGGAAATACGTTTTATTTTTTTTCTCAAAAAGTTATAAAGCTATGAACATAGGGTTACTGCAGTCTCTCAACACTATAATTGTACATATTCAGGAATATTTTTAAGCCCAAATCCTGAATAACACAAAAGTTACGGAAGTTAACTTAAGTATCCCCTTTAAAATAGGGGGCGTTTTAAGGGGTTAATCAATTAGTTCTCCATAAATTATGATTTTCACACATTGAAAAAAATTTTAATGCATAATTTAATGTACCATTGATCAATTTAAGCTATTTGAGATGTCTTTGTGTTTCAATTATGAAAATAATAATTAGTTTTATGTTTGGGGGTGAATTGTAGGGGGCGCCACCTATAGGACCATTTTTCACATTCGTTGCCGGGGCTAGGACAGAGAACCCAAGCTCAAAATAAGCCCAAGACCTTGCTCTACATGAATCCAGTGAGAAACTTAGGGGACAAACTTTTTTTTTTAAATTTGCTCAGCTGCTGACCTATAAATCATATACTGTAACATGACATTAATGTAAAGGTTTGCATATATTTAATTTATTGTTCATTAATAACATACATTTGTTCACAGACTCATTCAAACACATACATGTAGTTATTCTGAAACTTAGGGAAATGATTTATACAAATAGAACACTTTTATGTAATATTTCATTTAATTGATTGATTCTATTCGATGAAGTCTCTAGTTTATCAAAAATATTGAAGGATAATTCATGAAAATGTTCCTTAGAAAATAGATGAGCTATTTAGCAGTAGAAAATGCACCACAGGAAACCATTGAAAATTAATCAATTATATATTTTACTCTAAGTACACTTTACAGTCAGACCAGCTGGTTTAAATATTGTTGACCCTTGTCAATCAAATTGAACATGCATATTGTATACCTCTAATATACAATGTATATCTTGATTTACTGTTGACCTTAACCCGAGGTCTTCAAAACTGGAATGTCTAAAGGTAAACAATCCACCCAGTTGATCTCAAGAAAGGTCAACAATTGCCATATATAGGGTGAGCCAAAAAAAGGTAACCCAAACAAATGTTAATAACTCTGCCATCAAGCATGGATTCAAAACCATATCTTGCACAAGTGAATCTTCTTCGGTGCTTTTTCATTCCATATAACTTTCATTGGTCTATTTTTAATGGTCGCAATTTTATGGCCGTTTTAAAAAATATGCTAAAAAAACAGAAACATGTCAAAATCACCCAATATGAATCCCCAAACTCTTTGGAGCTATTTCAAGGATATTTTCCACACCTACCACTTTAGAAGCATTGACACCCTTTCATTATAAAATGAACCCCCAGCTGGGAACAACCCCCTTTTCTGAAAGATATACGAATCCCAGGCTGGGAACATGCCCCACTCTAGGCCCTAGTAGAAACATCAGAGAGTTGAAACAAGACATAGGAAGGATGATTAGAGCCTTTACACAAGATATCTGTGAGGGTGTAGTCAGAGCAATTTCACCTGGTGCGTTCAAATTTGCCTCCAGAGATGATACAGGCATTTTGAGTAATTTTTTTAAAATAGCCATAACATCAAGGTCATTTGAAATAGACCAATGACACTTCATAGAATGAAAGAACATTGAACAAGGTTCCTTTTTGCCAAATATGATTTTAAACCAATGCTGGATGACTAAGTTATTAACATTTGTTTGGGTCACCCTTTTTTGGCTCACATGTCCTACACATACCTTTTATTTCATACATAAGACCACACTTTAGTACATGAGGTATTGTATATATACAGGTAGACTTGGGTTGTAAAGAGGCCATTCACAAAAAATATTGCAAATTACGATACATAAAATTCAATTGTCTTTTGACATAATTTTCTACCTCAGAGTGGCAATTTTAATCCAATAAAATTCATAATATTTTCAGAAAACAGGCCTGAGAAAACACTAGTGTTTCCCTTCAAAAAGTGAGAGACATTACAAGTCCTATGTGTACAATAACTGCAAATCATTTGGTTATAGCCCCCTCAAAAAAGAAAGAAAATTGAAAAACATGAGATGGGGTCCTAATAGAGACATTACAAGTCCTATGTGTACAATAACTGCAAATCATTTGGTTATAGCCCCCTCAAAAAAGAAAGAAAATTGAAAAACATGAGATGGGGTCCATACTATATATATATAGTTTTCTTGGTGAGTTGGTCAAATCTTGCAAGATATAATACAGGCTTTACCACATGGTCCAATAGAGGAGTTTAGGTTGGCAAACTTATATTGGGGAGTGTACATGTATCACTTCACTATATATATATATATATACAATGCATATACGTTACTGCAATAGCCAACAATGACTCACTTTAAGAACAACATATTGATTGAAAAAAATGCACAATTTCTCTCAAAAATTTACAGAATTGTTAAATGTAAATAAATGTTACGGGAGACCCCTGGGCCTGTCATCTAACAATGGTCCACTCGAACATCATCTTAATCACAAAAAGCACTACAAAATGCACTCTTCATTTATCTACATATTGTATTACCTGCAAGAAACATATTTTCTTGGGAAGCAAGCAAACTACATTTCTTTTATTACTAGATCAGTTTTAAACAAGCCCTTGAATAAATAGTTTCCTAACATGCAAATATAAAAGTTGATCTTCTCAAGATAATATGTTTACTATAATGGTATTATATTAAATTTTATTACCCATAATCATATACATTATATTCAAACCTTTTTTAAAGCTAAAGCAAGGTGACAATGATGCGTATATTTACATGCAATGGCACTAATTTGTAAGCATCTTTATACATAGCACATACAATATAACCTAATACTACATTATGACCTAATACTACATTATGACCTAATCCTAGTACATGAGTGTAGCCAGATTCCAGCTTTGTGCCTTTGTATATAATAACACAGCTAGGCCTCTTAGACTACCACTCACACATTCATCAGTTCCAACCTTGCTGAACTGGTTCCTTGCAGCACCCGAACAATGTTTTCACCGAACGCGCTCACTCGCGCATTGAGTTCCTAAAACTCAATGAGTGAGTGGAAAAATAAGTTTGGGAGAGAAGGACTGGTGGTTCAAGACTAAAGAATTGATATTTGCATTGTGAGAACCACAGTTCGAGTGGAAGGAATGAGGTCAGCAAGGTCAAAACTAATTACCACATGAGTGGAAGTCTATGAGGCCTGTAACAAATATACATAGATTAATATGATAACATATATTTACAATTTATATATATATAAAACTCATATAATATGCATGAACAGATCTGGGGAGTAAGTGGGGGTGATAAAATTTACAACTTAATAACTATCTACCTCAATGTATCAAAGGGAGTATTGCAAGATTCGGAAAATGACAAGAATTTCAGAAAAAAAGATTTTGAGATCCAAATTGACTGTTACCCCCTATTATTTTTGGGACTATGAGTAAAAATACAACTTTTGGGTGATCTATGTATGTACATCCCTTGATCTGCCCCTGCATTTAGTACTACATTATCCAACAACTGGGTTACCTTCTGCATGGGAACTGCTTTGTATAGTTTTAATTTCACAAGGAGCGAATATAGTATGTGGCAGTAAAATATTTCATTTAACTTCTTGAATATCCACATAGGACTTTCTCTTTACATAGCATAAGTTCTGGTACATGTCCTTTTAATATCGGTATATCACTTTTTATGGAAGTAAGGTTTCACTAAAACTGGAGTAAAACAACATACTAAGGTGAGCCCTTTGGAGTATATGGTATGAACTACCATATTATAATATAAGATTGAGGTTCCAAACCAATTCTTTAAGTCTGCTAAATGCCACCATTTTACATGCACAAAGAGTTTTAAGAATGGTCATGTAGTCATCAAAGATCACTTATAAAGTAAACCAATGACAAATCTCTTTTGCATCTTTAATGAAGATCATTTAGTGAACATATATGAGTGATAATGCCAATAAAAGCCACAAGTGCATATTAGTTGTGATTATCTAACCAACTTGTAATGTCGGCCATTATTTCACGGTCACACTCCAAATCAATTACTATACTTCATTTGTGCCAATTTACAGGGCATAAGTCACCAACAAGTACAATGTATAATGCAAACCTCTTGTCCTGATTTAAAATGACTGCATTATGTGGGATAACCAAGGTGATTTCAACTTAACCATCTTGGAAGATACTTAAAGTCCATTTAAAATCATCCTGTTTGACAATTTAATTTGTAGGTGTTACAGTGCCCCAGTTGTTGGATCATAGCATACATTTTTACACATTGCAAATTTAGAACTGTTACCTTTACAAGCTAGCTAGAAATACTAGAACTAAACTAATAAGTACAATCTGAAGCAGATTTTAACATCAAAATATAATGTGTCATGTTCCCAAGAAGCGATGTCATGCACTCACTCGATAGCTCTTTCAAGTGAGAGTCAGAGTAAAGCATTAGCAATCTTTTAATTTTTTTTTTCAATTTTCCAACAATTTATTTAGAGAAAACCTTGGCCTTATATAAATGCTGGAGAATGAAAAGAAAATATTTTCAACATTGTACTTGAATATACACACACATGTAAAAACCTCTAGTAAAAGTATTAGTATTTCAAATCCCTTTATACAGAAGCAAAGAATTATTATTGCATTGCAAATGTGAATGAAAGAGGAGCATATTTAGTATTAATTGTTTAACATATTGCAAAACAATAATAAAGACACAATTAAAAAAATTTCACTCTTTTCTTTACTCCGCCAAAGCTCAAATCTTGCCAAAGGAGTGGTATCGATATGGAGAACTTTTTGAACACATGTTTCTCTTAAACCAGTCATAAAATCTAAAAAATTAACACATCGTCAATTTAATGGTCATCTTTTGAATGGTAACAATATAATTTGAAAACTATATACATACTTTCATCTATATTGTTTTAGAAAACACATCAGACACTTGTTTTGTTCTTGACATAAACACAACATGTTTAGGTCTCTCAATATTGTAACTGTACAAAGGAAATTTTGGTTGATTTTAAAAAAGTATCTTGTAAATGAAATAAAAGGTTTATCTGGATTTTTATCTATTTTGGGGGATTTTGTTTTGATTTTTGAATACTTTTTTAAAATCAACCAAAAATTCCTTTGTATAAGTATATAATATTGAGAGGTCTAAAAACATGTTGTATATGCTATTTTGTTCCAACAAGGTTCGGAAAGACATTTTATATCATTCTCAAGAATTGGTAGAAAGGAGCAAAAACAATTGCACTAAAAAACCAAAAAATGTTAACAAAAACAGTTACATGTATATAAAATATTTCTGAATAATTTTCGCATTAAATTGTTGTCAATCAGTCAACATTATATAAAATACCATGTTTTTTTACAGAATGTTTTTCAATGATTGGTTTAAGAGAAAAACATTGTTGAATTCAGTTCTCCATATCGATACCACTCCTTTGCTCAAATTTATATCATAAATATCAGTATATTTTGACGCTTTTTCCACAATCAGACAGTTTCTACTTGGTGAATATGCTTTATTTGTACACTTCAATTCATTTTGAAGGTATTAAATCCATATTCCAGGCCAAAAGTGCAAACCTATTATCGCCAATCAAAATAGATCGATTTTCTGTATTTCTAATCTTTCCAGGGCCGTCAGATGGGGGGGTGCGATGGGTGTACTTTGAAAGTACCCAGAAAGCACCAAATAGCATCTTAAAATTGTGAAATTTTCTAGGGGTATTGGCCATCCCTCACACCCCCCACAAACGAATGGAAAAGTTCTAAATTTATTTTAGTGTTTTGTCTCAGACACTTTTAAAGTGCACAGACATCATCAAATAGCTCCTTGATACAGTTAGTGTTTCTAGGGGACTAATACTTGCTTCCCTTCTTGCATCTTGCACTTGCATCCCCACACCACCTCCCCCTCTGGCGCCCCCCCCCCTTGACCCCCCCCCCCCCAAAAAAAAAATTGGATAAAAGTTGTGATTTTCTCAAATTCTTTAATTGACTCATACACTTTGAAAGTGCCCAGAAAGCACAAAATAGAACATTTTCTAGGGGGAGTGGGCCACCCCTCACACCCAAAACAAAACAATGGAAAAGTTCTGAATTTGTTTTATGTATTGTCTCAGACACTTTTAAATTGCCCAGACATCATCAAATAGCTCCTCGATATAGTTAATGATTCTGGGAGACTAACACTTACTCGCCCTCTGGCATCCCCACTCCACCCCCCTCTGGCATCCCCCCCACTTTGACACCCCCCCCCCCAAAAAAAGAAATTAAGATTTTTCAAATAATTTATTGACTCGTACACTTTGAAAGTGCCCAGAAAGCACAAAATAGCATCTTAAAATTGTAAAATTTTCTTGGGAAATACTGTAAAACGGGTATTGTTAGCGAGGGGTAATTGTTAGCGATTGTTAGCGATCGCTATAGTTTCGCTAAAAATTCAATTCGCTAAAATTAACCGGGGTTAAAATAAACCGGGCGCTGAAATTTGCAAATTCCCGGGAAACTACATGAAACTAGTATTTAAGGAGCTTTTCGTTCAGTGCTCGACTTCCGGTTGAAAAGTCATGTCCGTTATTCATTCTTCTGCCATAAATGATAAAATTTCTAATGCAATTGGCTAATTTGATTTTTTAAAGATTAATCTTCATTTCGCTAAAATTTCCCGCGCTAAAACCCCCTAAAATTGAAAAATCGCTAAAATTTCCCAGTGTCAAAATTACCCGTTTTACAGTAGGCACTTTTAGGCACAGACACTTTTAAAGTGCCCAGACTTCATCGACTAGCACCTTGATGTTGTAAATGTTTCTGGGGGACAGATATTGGGGACAAACACTTGCTCCCCCTCTGGCACCCCAACCCCACCTCCCCTTCTGGCACCCCTCCCCTTTGACACCCCCAAAATTTGAAAAAAATTATGATTGTTTTTCAACGTTTTTATTGACTAATACACTTTAAAAGTGCCCAGAAGCACCTAATATCATCTTTAAATTGTACATTTTCTAGGAGAGTTAGCCACCACTCACATCCCCCACAAAACAAAAGAAAATATTCTGAATTTCATGTATTGTCTCAGACATTTTTTAAGTGCCCAGACATCATCAAATAGCACCTTGATATGGTCAATGTTTCTGGGGGACAACCCCTTTTTCTTATAGACTCATACACTTTGAAAGTGCCCAGAATGCACCAATTAGCATCTTAAAATTGTAAAATCTTCTAGGGGGAGTGGACCACTCCTCACACCCCCCACAATACAATTGGAACGTTTTGAAGTTGCATTTGTTAATGCCAAACCGATATAGGGAGTAACCGACTCCCCCCCCCCCTCTGACTTATGCGATTTGATTTACGCGGCAAAAAATTGACAATTTTATATTCTCTTTAGTAAAAACCGCACCCCCCTTGGAGAAAAGTGTCTTACGGGCCTGTCTTTCTATCTCAAAATAAACTTATTATCTCACACATTTTCATCTTTACAAATATCTTAGGTAATCAAAACATGATAAATTACTAAAATACTGCAAACTTTTTAACTCAAAATTTTGATTGGAGGGTTTGCATTTTAAGGCAAGATTTGGAGGGGGCACGAACCCTCCGAACCCCCTCATCCTATCGACCTGCTAGTATAAAATTGCGATTCTGAGAATGGGATTCATTCTCGGCACCATACTCGTTTCCCAGTTTAATTTTCAATCAATGAAAACTTTATACCTTGGAAATCCAAGATGTCCCTGCACAGGGTTCATTGATCTTTCATAAAAAGGGTTTGTTCCAGGCCGAGGGTTCGTTTTATAACGAAAGGGGGGTTCGAGACAAAGGGGGGGGGGGGTTCGCATGAGCCCCAAGGACCCCCCCCCCTGCCTACGTCCATGTCATATGAGAGTTGTTCAATAAATATGAATATAAATGCTCTCATTTCAAAGTTCTTAAGTGAATCTGTTTGAAATGTTCAGAAATGAAATGCATTGTGTATGTTTAAATACTAATAATCAATGTATTATGAATTTATTCTTATTGCCTTTGAAATTACTGGCAAATTAAGTATATGGGTGAGAGTTCTTTGTGTATGTCACAAAAAATTAAAGTATTTTACTCTATTTGAATGTATGTGGCCACTTTTGGTATTATTCATAGTCCATAGCTTATCATTATGGTTCTATCAAAGCTTTAACTTCTCTCTTTTAATATTCTTCTACTTTAATGCCACACATCTAGCTAATGATCCCTTGCTGCTTTACAAAATAGACACTGAAATAGATTTAGACTAAAACAATTATTTTTAGTGACATATACAGAGAAAATAAAGGACCCACGGTCCTGTGCTCACACAGTTTGGAACCTTCAGATGAATGTATATCCTGACTTTCAAACAAAAATATTGATTTGGATTTGTAGTCTCGAGCTTTGAGAACATTAGATAGCACAGTTGTGTGACCTAGTTTGATGACCTTTGACCTTGAAAATTTTACTTATTCAGAGCTCAGTAAGGTCTTTTGTGATTAAGCTGACCAAAAATCAATTTGAAAAATCAACTTTTTTTTACCTTTGAAGGTCACTGAAGGTCAACTTGTAGATGATTTTCAAAAAAAAATTTGGTCAAATTGAAGCAAGTTGAAAAATAACTTATTTTTACTGTTTTTTGACGTCAAATATCTCAAAATTGGTAAAAATTTGATGCTGACATATATTGAACAATATGTAGGGAATGCTTAAATCTAGCAATGATGTAATTCATTGCAAGAAATGATCAAGTATAAGGCAAACTTTGAGAAACTTGTCAATAACAAAACCTGCCATTGACTTTATACATGAAAACGTTCCTGAAAATGAATAAATCCTACTTTTTGTCAAATTTTATAGAGTAAACACCAAAAACTATAATTCCAAGAGCTTTGAAATCTTCAGAGGACAAAAGTTGCATATACAGCAACTGCTACAAGTTATTTGAAAGTTCTACTTCAACAAAGTGTCTAGAATTTACAGAAAATTGGCTCACTGTGTGAGCCTAAAACTGTTTAGGGTACTCTCATTCCTATATATTAAATTTTCTGCAAAATAGAAAGAACCAAGAATAAATTCATAATAACTGGGCAGTATTGAGACAAACATTTTGCCTTCAATTACTACATGTATAATGTAAACGTAATTCCTTAATAAACATGAAAAAGAGAGCATTTGAATTATAAGTTATTGAATAACCCTCATATACATATCTTATACATGTGGTATTATCACACACTTTACCAGGTCTTGCAAATGCTTTTTTATTTACAGTGAATAAGCCTTTTTACAATATATACAATTTTCCTGGTAAAATCTGCAATAATACAGCATATACGCCAAAGTTTTGTTCCATGTTTTTATGTATACATCATTGACTTTAAGTGTACTATTGACACATTTCATATTATGTTTGTTTTTCAAGTATATAATACTTGGTACGCTTTTAGCTATTTTTTCAAGTACATTTCTGTACCATCATATTAAGTGTTAACATATTAATGCACTGACGGTTGTGGCAGTGTATCTATTTTACAACCTATTGTTGGTTTTGTCAACAATCTACATACACAGAAGTTCTTCATTCATAAGGAGGCCCTGTCAGAAACCAAGCAAGGTTCAGATTTGACCCTTTTGAGACCTTCCATTTTCAAAACTATCTTCACTAAAAGGTTCCTGGCATAGATTGCATCTATTTTGTCCAACTCTTTCAGTAAATCCATGAGAAGCAAATCCTTCTCATATATCAGCTTCTCAAACAAGTCCTTGCATTTCTCTTTTGCATTGTCCTTGTGAAAAGTGATCTTTGCATCATGGAAAAATCTTTCAGCTAACCGGATGTACTGATCTTCAATATTAAGTACTTTACAGAGTTCAGTGTTCTCATCAATTGATAAAGATACCAACCGTTGTGTCTTAGTTGTCACTGAAATGCACATGTAATTTTATTTTATTCATGTTTAATTGTACTTTATTTACATTGTATTTGATATTGATTTAATATAAATTCATTGAAATATTTGTGCATCAATTGTGTTCACTTCTAATACTTATTTAATTTAAGCCAAAAAAATGTTTTAATTCCCCACATTGGGATATAGCCATCATGGTCATCATCATTTGAAAAAGGAATAACCTAGATTGTATGAAGTCATATTTAAATATTTGTTCAACAATGCATCTTACTGTATAAATGTATAACCAGAACAACGGCAACGCCAAAGCGTAGCGAATCCCATCGAACATTTTTCAAAAGGGGCACCTTCTACCAAAAGTGTCATTAGACAGTGTGCCATGCTTATAATATTCACATACCAAATATGAACAAAATCGCTTTCCTACTTTTCGAGTTATAATAAAATATGTTAAAATGGTGGCCATTTTGAAAAATGGCCGCCTTCTACCAAAAGTCTCATTAGACAGTGTGCCATGCTTATAGTATTCACATACCAAATATGAACAAAATCGCTCCACTACTTTTCAAGTTATAGTAAAATACGTAAAAATGGCGGCCATTTTGAAAAATGGCCGCCTTCTACCAAAAGTGTCATTAGACTAGAGGAGTTACTCGTGAGAAAAATCCAACTCGGGTTCAACTTGCCAAATATTTCCAAAACTCGAGTAAAACTCGAGTTCATTCATTTCGTCCAGTACATGTTGTAAACCCGGGTATACAAAATTACTATAGCTTCTTGCAGCAAGTTTCTCTGGTTTAGTCACATCTAAAAGCTGTTTAACACGTTGGGGACATATGAAAGTGTGGTATTCATTGCAGTTATCTCATATTTCAATCAAAAACGATCTGGTATAGACGTCGCCGCATACGGTAAGGACGAGAGATCGCTAGAATCTAACCAAACAATATTTTAGAAAACCCAGAAGGGCCCCTCAAATTAATGAATGGTTTTCCCGGATTATCTTCATTATTTATACTAAAGACTGCTGGTTATCGATCTAAAGTTAAGACTTATGATCTTAATTTAATGATAGATCATCTTTTTTATGTAAAAGTCGTGTAAACGATGTGAGAATAAGGGGACCATTTTTATTCAATTTTAGTGACTTCTCTATTATCGCCCGCTTGAGTTCCTTCGATAGAAGATCTTTTCTGATATTTTTGGTGTAACTCTTCATTCCACGATATTTGTTGAACTTTGTGAAGCTTTGAGAGTGTTTTTTAGGTGACGGGCGCTAAATATGGCGATCGTTGGTATATTTATTCCACTAATGAAGTAATGTTGCACGATCTCTGCGACCCGAATTTATTTTACATGCTTACAAGATAGGCAAAACTCGCGAGCTGACTCGAGTTATAGCTAGCTCGCGAGTTGAAATAGATTCCGAGTTTCTAGAGGACAACTCGAGGCAATGTATAGGCAGCTCTGACGAGCTGTACTCGAGTTACTGACTCGGGAGTTACACCTCTACATTAGACAGTGTGCCATGCTTATACGTATTCACGTACCAAATATGAACAAAATCGCTCCACTACTTTTCGAGTTATAGTAAAATAAGTTAAAATGGCAGCCATTCTACCAAAAGTGTTATTAGACAGTGTGCCATGCTTACAGTATTCATATACCGAATATGAACAAAATCGCTCCACTACTTTTCGAGTTATAGTCAAATACGTTAAAATGGCGGCCATTTTGAAAAATGACCGCCCTCTACCAAAAGTGTCATTAGACAGTGTGCCATGCTCATACGTATTCACATACCAAATATGAACAAAATCGCTCCACTACTTTTTGAGTTTTAGTAAAATAAGTTAAAATGGCCGCCATTTTTCAAAATGTCCGCCATTTTTCAAAATGGCCGCCTTCTACCAAAAGTGTCATTAGACAGTGTGCCATGCTTATAGTATTCACATACCAAATATGAACAAAATCGCTCCACTACTTTTCAAGTTACAGCAAAAATCGTAAAATAACTAGTAAAGGCCGCCATTTTTCAAGATGGCTGCCATGTGCTTTTTTAATATCTACATTTCTAGCTTTATTAATGTCCTATATAATTTTTTTACATTTAAAACATATTGCTATTACAGTTTTATATATTGCACCTAAATTACTGTAAAATCGGCACTAAAATGGCCGCCGTTTTTAAATGAGCGGCCATTTTGAAAATCGGCTTTCGAGCAGAATTTCTATCTCCATAGGGTATATGTGTACAAAATATGAATAAAATCGGGCCAACGGTATTTGAGTTATTGCCCGGACGGACGGACGGACGTACGCATGGACAGAGGCGTTCCCTATATCCCTCCAAACTTTGTTCGATGGGATAATTATGTCTTGTAATTGATTTTGTGACGAAGCCAATTGTTTGGCTTAAAGCACAATAAAATTTTGAATCTTACTTACGTTTCTGTAAAGCTACTCTGTACTGAACCTGATCCCATCCATTTCTCTACAAATAAACAAGTCAATAATCTTATTTCTCTTAGTATATTCCATTTGGTGGACTCATATACCGAAGTGAGCATTTATGATTATTCTTTGATTTACTAGTCACCAACTATTATTTGTTATGCATGATGAAAACTTTTGACTTTCATCCAGATTCATGCAAAATTTACAGGAGCGCCTAGAGAAAAGAAAAAACATAGAAACTTGGAAGCTGAAACTGACACCGATATTTCTCAACATTAATAGCAACATATATTATCTGATTTAACTCTTATGTTATTCTTAATATACCCGAGGGTTCACTGTTTATAAACCTTGATGGGGATCATCAGGGCACATGGGGTACCTTTTTTGACATTTGATATGGCATTGGTCTTATATTTGGACATTTGGTATGGCTGTTGGGTTTTATTTTAGTTAGTATGAGAACACATTGAAATTTGACAGATTGGTATGGGAACATATTGATATCTGAGGGTTCAGCCTAGGACCCCCGCCAAAATTTGTATGCAGTGAACCCCTGGGTAAATGTATTAAATTACCGTATTCTCTGTAATTAGCGCCCAGGGCGGTTAGAAAATTGAAAATACATCATTCAGACCATTCTAATAAGCGCCCATGTATTAAAGAAATCAGAAATCCCGAGAAATTTCATGTATGGCAATTTTTCTTGCCAAGAATGCCTTATTTTCAACTTAATTTTATAATAATAATAAGTATTGTTATTGGAGAGAATACGGTAAAGATCGCTTAGACAACATTGACAGTGATTGAAGACCAATTTATTTCCGGCACGCCCACTTTGTCATTATCGCCGATTACCTTCAATATTTCCACTAGAGACTGTTGGATTTCGATCTAAAGTTAAACCTTATTTTAAATTTTGATGAGAGATCATCATTTTTCATGTTAAAGTCGTGTAAAAGTCGAGAAACGTCAAAAAGAAACCAGAAAGTTCACAACCTTGACATGCGCAGAACATCTGCGCAGTAGCTTTCGGATATTACTGAATGCCGATAAAGAACAATTCCTTCATTCATTATAAACTATTCTGAGACAAAATTAGTATAGTATGGTGTGGGAAGCACCCATCGATAGATATTTATCGACAGGATGCATAGAATTATAAAACGCTTCGTGTTTACAGCAGTTTAGGGTGAGTACTCTATTATCGCCCGCTCATGGATTTTCGGAAATATGATTTTTTTCTGATAGATTCTTCAATTCTTGTCGATTCCTCAATGTTTCTTGAACTTTGTGAAGCGGGGTGGGCGCTTATTAGAGGGTGGGCGGTAATTACAGAGAATACGGTATGTCAGCTAATTCAATTCTGCATATAACAACAATAACCCAGATGTGAGTAGGTTGTTACCACTTTCACCACCAAGTGGCTAATAACATGGCAGAAAACATGGCAGGGTATTAGAAAGTTCTCTTAAACTCCAGAACCTCCATATCTCCCGCTACAGAGCATATCTTCCCGCTTTTAAAAAAATTGAAAAAAAGAATTTTGAAAAAAATTAAAAAACAATTTCGAAAAAAAAAATTTTGAAAATAAATAGAAAAAAATGTTGAAAAAAATAAGAAAAACGTTGACAAAAATTTTAAAAAAAATTAGAAAACTACTGAGTATAGGATGAATCAGTTATGTTTGGTCGGTTTGGATATGGGATTTATACCTTGTGAGATACATGTATGCACTTATGCCTTTGGTCCCTCAGGTAGATATGCATACATGTACATGTATCTCCCTCTGGATAAACCCAATATCCAAAAATATCCCAGTAAATAACCCTTAAATTATTATTTGTCCAACTCTCCCAAAAACCTAACCAGAATGTTGGCTCTAGTCTGTCTGCTCTTCAAGTTGAACAGATATGGAATTTTCATGGAATTTTGATGACAAGGTTTATGTGGCATCCGCCTACCAGAAGCAGGCTTGCCAATCAGTACAAGACAACCATATTGCATTTTTGTGAAGTGAGCCAAAAATATGAGAAATTTTAAGAAAATACCTTGTTGTCCAATGGTGGATTATCAATCTTATGTTGGGTATTGAAATTATTCACTATCTTTTCTGCATTCTGATGTTGGGTCACCAATCCTAATTTGAAGGAAATAAAGTAAAATATAATATGTATCATTGTCAGATAAGAATAATAATATATTACTTTGGTTTTATCATTTTGCAATTGCCACCTTAAACATGTAGTGCAAAAGCAGAGAATTAGATATACAATGAGAATTAAACTGAATCTAACCAGAACAACAGCAACGCCAAAGCGTAGCGAATCCCATCGAACAGAAATAGCTGGCATTTTTACAAACGAAATATATAGCAAATATCATAAAATAACACACATAAGAAAGTTGTCATCAGAAGAAGTAATATGCTTTATTATAGTATTCACATACCAAATATGAACAAAATCGCTCCAATACTTCATGAGTTACAGCAACAATTGTAAAACAAGAACACAAATGTGTACAAAATGTCCCCACCTTTGGGTGATCCAGTAAAATGGTTATCCTAAAAATGAGTAGACAAGACTTTACCGACACAATTTGAGGAGGGAATATCCAAAATGGTCACCTTAAAATTTACCCAGAATGCCCAAAAAATAGTCAGTTCTAGATTTTCATATTAAGAGCCACCCCTGAAAATTTAAAATTGATCCCTCACACAGTTAACCAGAAAACATGTAAACAAGACTTTACAAACAAGATTTTAGGACGGAAAATCCAAAATGGCTGCCTTGATTTTTATCCAGAATGCCAAAAAACTAATCAGATCTAGATTTTCATACTAAAAATCATCCCTGAAAATTTGAAATTGATCTACCAAACGGTTCACCTAAAAACGCGTAGACAAAACTTTACAGGCAAGATTTTAAGACAGAAAATCCAAAATGGCTGCCTTGACATTTATCCAGAATGCCAAAAAACTAATCAGATCTAGATTTTCAAACTAAGAATCATCCCTGAAAATTTGAAATTGATCTACCAAACAGTTCACCTGGAAATGCGTAGACAAGACTTTACAGACAAGATTTTAGGACGGAAAATCCAAAATGGCTGCCTTGACATTTACCCAGAATGCCCAAAAACTAATCAGATCTAGATTTTCATACTAAAAATCATCCCTGAAAATTTGAAATTGATCTACCAAACGGTTCACCTGAAAACGCGTAGACAAGACTTTACAGACAAGATTTTAGGACGGAAAAATCCAAAATGGCCGACAATAAAAAAGTGATTATGAGTTTTTGCTGATTTCCTTTTACAAAATTATCACATATTACTCCTGTTAACAATAACATAGGCTTTTACAACAAAGTACACCTGAAATTATTTATGAAGCTACTAAATAGTTAAAGTATGAAAATTGAAAAACACCATTCAATATGATACAAAGTATTATCGCGCGCTAACTTTTCTTAAAACATTCAAAATGGCTGACATGACTGAGCTAACAGGTCCAAAACCTGATCAGATGTAGAATGAAGTGAGCTGAACAAGATGTTAAAGTTTCAAAAGCAACTGTGAAGTCATTTTTCTTAAAGTTTGCAGACAAGGATTTTAGCATTTGACTTCAAAATGGCCGACAGGAAGTAGGTATCCACTTAAATTTTTTTCATCCACATCAAGATGCACTCATAAGTTATCCCTGAAAATTTGAAGGTGATATCTGTAGCGGTTTTGGAGAAAACTGCCGGACGTACGGACGGACGGACAGACGGACATACGGACAGACGGACAGACAGACGCGCCTAGGCCGACAATATGGCCCCACACTATGTGGTGGGGACATAATAACGAGTAAAGGCCGCCATTTTTCAAGATGGCTGCCATGTGCTATTTTAATATCTACATTTCTAGCTTTATCAATGTCCTATATAATTTTTTTACATTTAAAACATATTGCTATCACAGTTTTACATATTGCACCTAAATTACTGTAAAATCGGCACTAAAATGGCCGACATTTTTAAATGAGCGGCCATTTTAAAAATCGGCTTTTGAGCAGAACTTCTACCCCCATAGGGTATATGTGTACAAAATATGAACAAAATCGGGCCAACAGTATTTGAGTTATTGCCCGGACGGACGGACGGACAGACGGACGGACGCCGTACGTACGTACTGACGGAGGTGTTCCCTATATCCCTCCGAACTTCGTTCGATGGGATAATAAACATATACCTTTTGCTTGGTGTGATGGGTGAGATGATTGTGCAGACTTTTTAATTTGGAGATCCTTACTAGCAGTTTGGAGGCCAACAGTTTGTACAGAAATATTTGGCAGAGAATTTTTACGTTCAATTTCCTTAGTTCCATCATGATTATCAACCATCCTTTTCATATATGAAGTGACATTGGAATCATTGTTAACAGATGTCTGAAATAGTGTACTATTGCTCACAGGCTGGTCTTGCAGAGATAGATGTTGGCCATCATCTAAAATATAGTAACATATGTAAATATATATATATTACTCTTGTTACATACCTTATATATGTAATTATACTTATATACATGAAATTTGACACAGTATCATTACTTCCATTTTAAAATAAATACATTTCAGTCTAGTCAAATAATAATAATAATAATCTTATTTCTTCATTCAATCATTGTAAATACTTTTAATGAAATGTTCATATGTACCATACGTGTTATAATAGACTGAGATGACATTTCTTGAATGGTGAGGGGTACCTTAGACACTATTTTATTTTTAAATTTGTGAGCACAAGAGCCCAAAGGGAAGAATAATACAAAACTCAGTATGAAACAGAAACAAGAGTGTTTGCAACCAGCCCAATATCCAAAACTGATCCAATGAACAAAAGAGATCATGTCCATTTTCAAAGTCACCTCATTAAAACTTAGTTTTTGATACTTTTTGGTAAACATGTATTTCCTATATACGAGTATATGGCAATTATGATTTTCCCGGGCTATCATTTTTATCTACTCTCGGATATCGCCGATCTCCACTCATTCGCTGCGCTCACTCGTGGAGATGGGCGATATCAACTCATGGATAAAAACGATAGCCCTCAAAAATCATAGGAATATCCTCTATATATTTTAGATATAATGTTGGTCATTCATTTATATGGAACATCCATTCATTTTCAGACTATTATATGATTGCTTATTCCTTCCAAATCATGGTACTTGCCTGTATTCTGTGATTCTTCTGGGGCAAGATTTGATGACTGCCCAAGTGAGGGTAGAGAAGACAGTTCTACAGCTCTTGAACCTTCACTAAAAGACTGTCCAGAAGGATTAAAGTCTGATGTTGGGGGTGCTGTGCCAAATGATGATATAGACACACCACAGATTTCCCCAGTAGCTTTAAGGGAAAGCTCTCTTTCTATCTGTATCTTAGCTTCTTCCTGGACAACTCGTTTTACCTCTTCAGGGATGTCTCTCTCTCCATTCCCTGCTGCATCCTGCTTTAGCATGATGTCACTTTGAACTGAGTCACGCCTGCCTCGTTTCGGAGTTTTGAACTCTTTGAGCTCAATGTCATCAGACTTTGGTTTGGAGTCAATAGGCTTATATTCATTCATCATTATCAATGTACTGGGTTCTTCAAATACATCATGCGATTCAACATTAGATTCGTATGACTCATGACGAATGAGAGCAGCATGATCCTTATCTAAAGTAGATCTTCGACTGCTTCTTGTGCACTTATCAGTATGGCAGTCCCTGCTATGACACTCTGGACACTCCACAACATCTATTAATCTAGAGTGAATGGAGGGATGTCTTTGTCTTTCCTCATTTTGTTTCTGTTGTTCAACATGCTCAGAGCTAAAGAAATACCATATTGCAAAATTACTTTATGATATTAAATAAATCAAATTTACAGAATGCAACCTTTAATCAGTATCTACCAAGCTTGTGCGTAACTCTTTTAAGCAACAGAATTGTGCTATGATTTTTGATGCATGTTTTACTAATGTTACACACATCATATTTTAGATTGGATCTTGAGAAATTTACTAATCATACTTGTGCCTAAGTAAGGGACTAATGCAAAAGTTCAATGTAGGAGAGCTCACTGAATTTTGATAGTTAACTCTCAGACACCCCCACCCTTCCCCCTGTTAACTAATAAATATGAGATATGTTGATTCTTGCGACATTTTCAAAAGTATATCCAAATGCACTTGAGTTCATCATATCGGCCTGTTAAAGTAAATTGAAGGGTATTTCTTGCACTTTCATATATTCTTGAAGATTGATTTTGTAGAAGTATACATGTTTTGAGCTTGTTTTGTAAACCCCAGTCCTGCTGTGTTGACACTCTTACATGTGAATGAAACAGATGACTGTCCCCAGGTGATTTTCCCATATGGCTGTCTGAGGACTGTCAATCACTGATTTCCAAAAAGTTCAGTTGCTTGTGAGACGATTTTACCTTTCTTCAAGTTGTATGCGACGTTTTATGATAAAATTTCACTTTTTTCTTGGCATGAGGAATGGGGAATCCCTCAGAGAATCTACACTGGATGAAATGACCATGACAAAAATTCCCGGGAATTCAATTATCAATGTTGGCAGAGCTAACAATTTGGGACAATAACACCCTTTCCCTAACTATCAAAATTTAGTTAATTATCCGACTTTGATCTTTTGCATTGGCCCCTTACTGTTCTACACTAAAATAGTGCTATTTTGTTATATTTCAATATACAGCTTAAATTTCAGTCTCATCCTTAAAGATTTCTGTTCATGGTAACAATTTCACTATTCAAGGATTTAAGCCATGGACTCAGTGCATTGTGGACTGGTTATCATTCCTCCAAGGTGTTGTTTGAAACTTTGCACCAGTTTCATAGAGTCAAGTGCACAACGAGAAACACTATATAATAAACATCAATACGACGAGATAATAGATTTATTATCCAAATTGAATAATAACTAATAAGATCAGTTACTGTTGAATAACATTCTGCCCGGGATTTGTTATTAATCATATAGAAATGTCTTATCCGAACAGCTTACATGTACGTATTATCCGTTGCGGCCATTAACAATTTTACATATCTAATTAGCTAAGTAAATAAACATGCGTCGACACAGTCGCAGATGACTATGAAAAGTTCAATCATCAATCTTATTTTTATTTTCTTGATTTAAAGATTTATTATGTTTAAAAAAGAAAATGTTTGATTTTCAACCTTTAATTCTTATTATCAAGAACGCGCATGCAAATTCGCCAACCATGTACATTGTTTGCAGTCTGCGCAATTTAATGTAAATCATTGTATATTTTTCGATATACTGTAATACTATTCATTATTTGTAAAATTGAACCGAATATAATCTAAAATTAATCAGCTTTAAATACATTATATGTCATAAAAGTTGCCTTAAAACAATACAATTCGTGCGTTTGTAAATGCTCTAAAGCCCCGCTAGTATATGAACGAATCCTAAATAGAAATGAGTAAAATTCGTTCCCATTAGTGTGTACACGTTCTACACCGAGACTTCTCCTTTAAATCAAATCAGTCCACTAGTATGAGTTAAGAATGGACAGAGGGACGGATGGCTTCATTCAATGGGATAATTAAGATATTTCAAAACCAGTGTCATTCTTCAATGCATACATCACTCCAATCATAACATAAAACAAGCTGTTTATTTTAAAACTATTCTTTACGAATTTATGATAAGTGTATAATGTCCAATCATACAAATCGCAGTCAGTGATTGTTCTCCACACTCACCCCTCCCCCTTCCTGACATGAACTATTTTGTAAAACCATTGACAGTGTGGAAAGGATTCTTACACTCGAGTGTCAAGGGGGGGGGGGCAGTTACAGAAATATACAAGGCGATGGTTCAAATTGGACAATTTTCAAAACTGCTCAACATGGTGAAAACTTCACGTTTTTAAAGAATGCTTGCCCGGCGAGTGGTTTGCTCTGGATTGCGAGAGAACAAAAACTTTGAGTTAGGATTTTTCCTAATACTATCATTAATATAAACAACTTTTTAAACCGTCTCTGACTACATATCATGCCAATTAATACCATTATTGTGTTGACAGGATTAAATATGATATCTATGGAATTATAATAAGTTCATAATTTAGTCTTATTTGACTAGTCTTGCATCATCAGAGTTGGATTGCAAATACCTCCCTAAATCAAATATTTAAAATTTACAAATTTACTAGTGTACGGGATGGGGAAACAAGTCTCCATCCAACCACTAAAGTTTAAAAGGAAGACTATAGTCACTGGCGGATTAGGGGGGGGGGGGGGGGCCTGGGGGCCCGGGCCCCCCCCCCTTGGGTGGGCCCAGAAAAAAAAATTGGGCCCAAAAAAAAAATTTGGGCCAAATAAGGCCTTCAGGCCCCAAAAAGTGGGCCTTTTTGGTCATTACTGGGCCTTGTAAGGCCTTATTTTTTAATTTTAGGCCAAATTTTAAAGAAAATGGGCCTCAAATTTCAAAATTTGGGCCCACTTTTGGGTTTTAGGGGCCCAAAATTTTTTTCCGCGGACGTTTTTCTCTGACTTTAAATTTGGGCCCCCCCCCCTTGTTGATTCCCAGATCCGCCCCTGATAGTGTCCCGTGAATTCATTATAATTATCTTAGACAATAGTGAAGCGGTACAATCATTTGAGTGTTAATTAATCGGAATGCAAGTTTGATTTAAAATAACTCCTTTGGATCAAATATTTAAATTCTACTAGAATGCGGGGAGTGGAAACAAGTCTCCATTCAAGCACTAAATATCAAAAGAAAGATTTCAGTACCCCTTAACTTCACTCCCGGACTTCACTATTCACCACCGACCCTCGCCCTTCCCCAAGTATCCCTTATGACCCCAGAATGTTCATTTCTGTGCCCCCCCCCCTGCCCATGGCCAGTAAGTAATCTATGTGTATATTGGCTCCCTCCCAAAGGTGGGAAAACCAGATGCAGGCATAGACATTGACAAGGTGAGGGGATTTAAATATAAAAATAGTCTTGTTTTTCATTCTGATTTATCAGAGTCCCTCTTTACCTAACGCTTTTGAGAGACTATTCCAAAAGGATAGCAAAGGCTGTGGATCCCACAATGTTGTTTTTGGCTCCGACTTATATATTTTGGCACTGTTTAACGAAGCCGGTTTAAGGAATGAGAGACAGAAATAATTCCTAGAAATAAGATGGCCTAATCGCGATAGCCGCGACCCCTTTGTCTTTATCCTTCCACAATCGGCAGATAAGAGTGGCTCTGGCATACCAGAATGAGATGGCCTGTCTTTACTGTAATCAAGATATGGTACCTAACCACAGTTATTTTGGTTTTATAACGGAGATATTGCTCGAGCTTGAATAACAAATAAAAGGCATGTTCTTATTTCTGTAATCTGACCTTTGATTGTGTATTAAGTTGAGCTGCACGCCAAACGTTAAGATTGTTAAAACGCTTAAAATAAAACTTTATTCCTCTCAATTTACATAAAAATGAAACAGATTAGATTCGAATCTTAGTCACAACAGCACCACTGGTCAAAGGAAGTACAAATATCTATATTAATCAAATGTCTGAGAATTTGATAACTGTCTGGGATCCAATGCTAATTTTATTGAAGCAAACTAAGAAAAGTATAAAGATGAATTTTAAACGTTTAGAGGGAAAAGTCAAATATGCATCGTAACCCTAAAAATAATTCATTAAAGTGTCGTACACATTTTATAACATTTATATAAATAAAACAAATAAAGCCCTAATGCTCTATAATGAATTCATATCGGCGCTAAACGGCCCTTGCAATAAAAACAGGGAATGCTTGGAAAATTCTTCCGAGACTGACTTTTGTTATTTCAAAATTGAAATATGCCTAATTCCTATGAACTCACAATCTTTTTCCCTGGGTTTTACTCTATTTTAGATTTACTAGAAAAATGTTTATATGATGATTGGTTTGCTTCTCACGAGTTCATTGAAACGTTCAGTCGTAAAACTTTAGAGATCAAAAGACTAATTAGGCACCTGATTGCGAAAGTTTGATTGCATTTCGATCGCCGGGATTTTTCAAACGTATTGTTTAAGTAGCGATCGTGTTCTTTTGGATCTTGATAACTTCCTATTTTAAGTTTTGGGTTGAAAGCAATGAGTATGTCGGACTTTCTCAAGTCCACATAATGAAACAATATCCCTTTATATTAGTCCAATCGGAATTTGCATAAACATACCAGTTTTATATTGCAAAAAGAACTGTAACTAGAGATCAAGATTGCAAGCAATCTTACGGAGGCCCGTAGGTGTTTTGGCCTTATATGGTCAACCAATGGTCAAAAGATGGTTATTAAGTCAGTTTCTAAGTCAGCTAGTTACTAAGTAGTTATTGACTACGTAAGTTACTAAGTTAGTAACTTTAAGTATATTACTAAGTAAGTTATGAAGTTGGTTACATGGATTCTTCCAAGGTCAACCAAAGGTCAAAACTAAAGTCAGATTTGAACTCCTGATAATTTGTAGATGGTTTTTAAAAAAAAGTTTGGTCAATTTAGAGCAAGTTGAAATTTGACCTTAGAAATTTCGAAATTTGACTTTTTTAAGTTTTTGAGCTCTAATATCTCAAAACTGGTGCAAAATTTGAATAGATAATCAATAACTAACATGTGTATAACCTTGAGAGGAATCTATATTCTGACTTTCATTAAAAAATATTGATTTGTAGTCACCAATTATGAGAAACTTAGAAAACACAGTTTGTGATTAAGCTTGATGACCTTGACCTTTGACCTTGCAAATTTTACTTTTTTAGGCCTCAGTAGGTCTTTTTTGAATAAATATACCTGAA